CTAGCATACAGCTGGATAAACATGTCATTTGTTGGGTGAGCAACTGACTGATGAGTCAGGCACAAAGGGTTATAGTGAATGGGGTTACATCAGGCTGGTCACTAGTGAGATTCTGCAGGGCTCCATGTCAGGCCCAGTGCTCTTCAACATCTTCATAAATAACTTGGATGCAGGCCTTGAAGGTATACTAAGTAAGTTTGCCAATGATACTAAACCAGAAGGAGCTGATTATTCCATCAAAGGCAGAGAGGCCCTGCAAAGAGACCTAGACAACTTAAAGGCTGGGCAATCACCATCAGTGTGAAGTTTAACAAAGACAAGTGCTGAATTCTGCACTTGGAAAGGGGCAACCCTGGATGTATGTACAGACTGGGAAATAGAGCCTGGAGAGCAACACTGTTGAAGGGACCTAGTTAATAAGGGTCCTTGTTAACGACAAGTTGAATATGAGGCAGCAGAGTGCTGTGGCAACCAGGAGGGCCAACCATGGCTTGAGGTGCATCAGGCACAGCATCACTAGCTAGATCGTCCCTTTCTGCTGTGTTGGTGCAGGCTCACCTCAAGTACTCTGCATTTTTGGGCACCACAATATAAGAAGGATATTAAGCTATTAGCGAGTTTCTAAAACAGGGCTACAAAGATGGTGAAGGGCCTAGAGAGGAAGTCAAAAGGAGCAGCAGAGGTGACTTGGTCTGTTCAGCCTGGAGAAGAGGAGACTGAGTGGAGACCTCATAGTAGTCTACAGCTTCCTCACAATCTAAAGTAGAGGGTCAGGAACAGTGGCACGACCCAAGGGAACAGCATGAAGCTGTGTCGGGGAGATTTATGCTGGATATTAGGCAAAGGTTTTTCACCCAGAGTTTGGCTGGGCACTGGAACAGGCTTCCCAGGTAAGTGGTCACAGGACCAAGCCTAACAGCATTCAAGAAGCATTTGGGCAATGCTCTCAGGCACATGATGTGATTCTTGGGGCTGTCCTGTGCAGGGCCAGGAGCTGGACTTCAATGAGCCTTGTGGGTCCCTTCCAACTCAGGATATTCTATGATTCTATGAAACAGCTAACCATATCTTGGATCAATTATCCTGATGTGGAAAAAAGAAAAAGACTACTCTGTGACCAACATTTTTTAATGAGGAAAACTAAAACTTAAAAGAAGTGTTTGACAAATCCATATGAAATATCAACAAGTAGTGGATTATATCTATTTTTTATCCATATGTTTTTACACATTTATACTTTATTTATATACAAATACAAAATACGTATTAGAATCCCAAAAATTTAATTTGAAAATCTGTAAAAAAAGTAGGATGTGTGTATATGCCCCCACATATATGTGCAGATGTGCATGTCAACATACCTATGTATGTATGCCTGTCTAAAGGTTCATGTACAGTGATTAAAGTATTGTAGATTGAAATAGAAAGTGTGAAATACAAATACTTACATAGCCCTTGTTGTAGGATATTAAGCACCTCTTAAATCTATTCAACTTAGCAGCCACCTTGGAAAGAAAGAAGCTGCTTTTAGTTCTATTATATCACAGGGAAAATGAAACAGAGATTAAAAATTGAACTTATGTGCCCTAATGCAAAAAAGAAGGAAAAATGTTGCTGCTTGAATGTAAAACATAAGCTTTCAAAGCTGAATCCTGCTGCAGGAACATCTAAAGAGTGCTGTGGAAGTTAAAAAAAAAAGTAGAAAATCGAATTGGTTCAATGCAAAAAACCAAGCCGAAACAAAAGTTAATTGATTCAAAATAGACTATAACAAATCCATGAAGGTTAAAAGATCCATGGAGAGCTGTTCAGTACAATACTTTCTTGTCCAAAATACCTTTACTGATGACTGCCAAAAGCAAGAAGGGTGCACTAGTTAAAGAATTCATTTGCCAACTTTCTTGCATTTTTTTCTTAATCATTTGGATTGGTTGCTGACAGTGAAGAAACATTAGTTAAGTGGAAGCTTCATCTGATTTGGTGTCGTCATTTTCCTGTTAAGTCTGCACATGCCTGTCTTTTCACCAGTAAAATTTCTTATGTTGCACAAACGGCCCTCAGCATTCTCAGAGCTTCATTCCTCTCATGTCATTCCTTTTTGCTCCTTTGAATTTTTTTGCTGTTGTCTGTTCCACTCAATTTCATCCATCTGATTTTTCTTGCTTTCTATGCACATCCCTTGAAGATACATGAAAATCTGCTGCACAGAGAGTATACCAGAGAAATTGTAGTTGTTTAGATTTTTATTTTCCTGTTTCCTTGTTGGTTTCACTTCTGAGAAATGATATCAGGTGAAGGCAAATATCTCAATGAGTGTCTACTCTCAGAGAGTGTCTACAGATACTACAGGTACATCCAGGACTGTTGTAACAGAGACAATTTTCAATAACATTATTTTTGGCTAATTTGCAAAGCAAGAAGTGGAGGTAGTAAATGAGGCTGCCTTCTGCAGGAATAAGGCAGGTAATAAGATTTTCAAACACTTTGCAAATGACAGTGATCCAGTTGATATTGGGCACAGTTGTTAACTTTGCCATGTAGATCTAGTAAAAATATATGTAGAGGGAGGCTGTATAACATATATAGTCAAAGATGCTAAAGTTTGACCAAGGTGATTAATTTTCTTAGATGTTTCAGTGATGTCCCTACACAGACTTGAAATCACTTTAAAATTCAGATAAATTTTAGTCAGTGAATTTCTAAGATATTTCCCACATTTTTAAGATTTCTTTCATTCTGGAAAATAAAATGCAGCTACTATTCTGGTTTCCAACAGGAATGCTGCTCAGCAAAAGGAAAGTCTATTTGCACTGTTCATTAGTTGCTGAAGACCCCACACATATTCAAAAAGATTGCTCTCCATACTCTATATCTTCTAATTAAAACACTGGATGTTTTGTCTGTAGCAGTTGAATTAAATCTTGGAATTGATGTTTCTAAAACTTGCAGATTAAAACTGTGCACCATGGCAGGAGCTACACAGATTTGTTAGTATGGTTATTTGATGAAGAGTTAGTTAGATTCATCCTGCCAGCAAAAATACATTTAGTGTTTTAGTCTTAAAGTTACTATATATGTATTTTCTACATCTGAAATGAAGTAGATTGCTTCCCATGGATTAAACCAGATAATGATCTGTTGCCTCACTGATAAGGCTGGAACCTGTAGATGGTGCTTCTGAAGCCTAAACCAGAATTGTCACCAATGTGAGGCCAATGAATTATAAAGAGTACCTTAAGCAGTATAAGATAGCTAATATACTTGCCAGTGTTTTATCAGTATGTGAACAAGCTCTAAAAGAATTAAAATCCTCTTTGAACCTATACTTTCTGACAGAATGACAATAATGAAAGTTGGGAATCAGAAGTCCCAGTCTGTGTTGGTTGATCCCCACTATTTTGATCTCTTTGCACTTATATTAGTCCCAAGTCTTATCTTCTCAGGCTCTTTCCAATCAGTTTTTTCATTGACCTTAATCATAACTCCTCAGCTTTTTCACCCCAGACACTCCCAGTTCTCTCACCTCTTTTCCTCAATTTTGTTTTTCTATTCACTGTCATACTATCCCTTCCAGTTTCTTTATTCTTATAATATTTCTTCTCATTTCAGCCTGCAATTCTTATTCCAGCTGGGTCTCAACTTCCATTCTTTCTATTCAAGTTGGTGTAAGCTCTAGTTCTGACTACTTTGTCTTCTCTACAAATACTTTTACTCACCTCAGTGATTTATGAATCTGTCTCCCTTGATGTCTAGTCTCTCTTTGTACCAGCTCTTCCAGTTCTGGCTTCTTTATCTTCTCTCCCATTACTTTTATCTACCATAACGCATTGATTTACAAGACTTTTCTTTCTTGACCTGCTGTCCCCATTCTCTCTGGAAATTCTTGTTTCTAGTTCCTTTTTCTACTCTTTTGCTTTCAGATTTCTACCTTAGTCCTGGTTTCCTCCACTTTACTTCTTGTCCCAGCATAATCAAGAGTGCAGGTGTGACTCATGCCTCATCTGCATTTGAAAAAGGCTGCCTGCATCCAGAAAAGATGGGAGTATTATTAGAGACAAAAGAAAGAGTCTCTTTTCTTTTTTATGTGTATACCTGACACAGTCCGTTACAGCCTAGATGAACTCAATTTCAGCCAGGGCATAGTCAGTGCAGTTTAAAACAGACACATGACGAGTCCCTATTTAGCTAAAATAGCATTCATAGCATGTACATCTGCAAATACTCTGCTTTTAGCATAAAAGCATATAATGGTATGTTGTATTGTGTACAATACATTCTTCCTGTTTTAAGCTGGTTATAGCATTAGTGTTGTTTATAGAACATTGGGATATGATAGGAAATATTTTTTACATGATTTTGCTATAGATCCTGATATTTAAAATGATTGTGAAGAGCTTTTTCTTAAACATTCCTTACAATAATTTCATAATGCATTGCTTCACCCTCTTTTCCATAATATATATTCCTTTCAAGAAACCTGAGCTGGATTTTTTTTTCTCCATTGTTGATGAGAAATTCAGTCATTTACTTCAGTAGCAGAATTAACTTTTTGTCAGCAATGAGCCTTGGAAGTTTTAGTCCTAAATGATTTCAGGTTCTGTGTTCCTCAAATCACGTTTGTACTTGGAAAAAAACAGCAAAAAAACCCAAGCCTTATTTGCTTTTATGATTTATTGCTGTATAGTGCATCTGAGAATGCAAAATTGTCACTGAGGTTGTAGCTAGTTTTTTGTTTGCCTTTATTTAAAAGCTTCATCTGTGTTTAGGGGTGGAAGGAAAAAATAGCCATACACTAAAACATGCATTTTTATTTTTAAGAAGTATGAGAGAAAATGTAAAAAAAAAGCCTTGAGAAAAAAGCCAAATAAAAATATTCAATCTCTTTTTTTTTGAAACTGTGCATTGGGCAATAAGAGGACTAAATTAGATAAACAGTCAATTTTTTTAAAAAAGTGTTTATTTTTTATATTTTCTACTTGTTCTTACCCACCAGGAAGAAGATGGGACTCCTTTTACTTCTAATAATTTACCAGTGCTCCATAAACAGTGTCAAAACACAGAGTGTTTCAAATCCCAATATCATTTTACTGATGGCTGATGATCTTGGTATTGGAGACCTGGGATGTTATGGGAACAGAACCTTAAGGTATGATGATAATTTGGGGGCATCATAGCTTTGTATTCAGTTTGTATTATCAGTTTTTTAAAGTTAAAAATTCCAGAACATTTGGCAATTTGATGACGGTTTTTATAAAGAACTGAAGTTAATAACTTTTCTGGATAATAGAATATTCAATCTTTGTTTTCTTTTCTCTA